TGATGAAGAGTTCATATCATACAACTGTGCTTTTATACTGGAGTGGACATTAGATTCAGATCTTTGATACAATCCTTGACATAAACATACATATAATTATAACACAGACCCCACACATACACATACTTTTCATATATAAGTACCGTAAATAATGTCATAAATAATGTTTTTTAGTCATAAATAATGTGTTTTAGTCGGGGCAGGTGATATTGTTGTGAATTTGCATGTTAATTTGATTCCAAGTTTTGTAGGAGGAAGTGTATATAGAATTGGATGCTTGCTCTAAACTTAGAAGTGTTTCAAAGGTTTGTATCCAAGATTTTACTTTAATATTATCAGTAGTCTTCCAGTTAGTAGCAATAACTCATTTTGCACTCATAAGGCCAACAGACACAATTTTTTTCTTAAATGTGGCCAGTTTTTGTCATCCATATAGTTCAAAATGCATAGTTTGGGATCCAACGGATGTAATTCTTTGATGACTGTTGACAGGTTCAACATGACTTTCTTCCAAAATATTTGCAGTTAAGGGCATTGCCATATCATATGAAAAAATAAGCCTTTTTCTTTATTACAGTGCCAGCACATTTCATTATTATATAAATCCATAAGTTTAGGTTTTCTTGGAGTATAATACATCCTGTTAATAAACTTATAATTTATTGTTTTATTTCATGCTGAGTTCAATATGTTATGTAATTTCTGCCAAATTGATGCCCATGTTTCAGGATCTATTTTCTCATCTAGATCTTTCTCCCAGGTTTTCTCTAGGGAGATGTTGATAGTATTTTTCAGACCATTTATGATCTTATAAATTTTGCTACCTATGTGACTTTTCTTTTTCATTATTGTTATTAATTTATTTTCACAGTTAGTTGTTTCAGGAAGTTGTATACGTTCCCCAAGAAATTTTGTAAGTTGTGATCTGATTTGCAGGTATGGCATAAGTATTTTATTTTAATATTTGTCGATGTTGAAAGTAAAATACAAGTGAATTGATGACTTTAAATTGCCTGTGAATGTGAGCGTAAATGGTTGTTTGTATGTGTCAGCCCTGTGATAGTCTGGGGACCTGTTCAGGGTGTACCACACATCTCGGCCAGTGTCAGCTGGGATAGGCACCAGTCCCCCCATGACCTTGAATAGGATAAGTGGTTATTGATAATGGATGGATGGACAGATGGATGGTGTGATACAAGGCCTAGGTTGGTGGTTGCCCTCTAGCTTTGCGTTGCATATTTAGCTGGACATCAAATCAGACATTGTTGACGAGACCTTCAGGTGTGTTTGAATTCAGTGCCTGGGAGTGCTTGATTTTCTGAAAGTCTGTTTCTGTTAACACATGTTTTATTGCATCCTTCTCTGCAAAGGTTTTTCACTACTCCAACAGCAAACGGACCATGTAGTTTGATGGTCCTGGCTTCGTTTCTCGACTTTTCCACGTCTTCAGTTTCTCTCACATTAATTTCAGCATGTCTCCTTTCGTTATGTATCTTCCTTCCCTATCCTGTCCATCCCTTTCAACCATTTATCCACCTTCAGCCTGCTCAGTAAATCAAAATTCACAACAACCGACATTTTCAAATATCGGTTATCACAGCCGTGCAAGTGTGTGTCCTGATAATGCACACCTCGAAGGGCATTAACCCGCTTATACCATTGTCACTTACCAAAGAAATGAAAATTAAATCAATTATTTTTTACAGTTAAAATCAAGAGTTTTTCACAAGCCACAGCTGAGCGGACTATTTAACCTCTGTAGTTGACAGGCGTTGCCATGGAAACCCGCTGTGGCCGCAGCGTAGAGAGCATAGCGACTCTGATCAGTGAAGGGAAGTGAGATTATGGCTAAACGTTATTATTCAGAAGATGATTATTTCAGAAAGCCAGTGCACTTCTTACCGCTTGTGTGTTACAGACTCTGGTGGTCAGAGGATGATGTGCAAAAAAAAAAAAAAAAAAAAAAAAAAACTTTCATGATTCATTGGTGTTCATTTATAGGCCCAAGAAAATTTGTTTCGAATAATCAACATCCAAATAGTAGTCAAAATCGTTCAATAACAAATAATTCATAAGCATATAGTAGTCGAGATTAAATCATATAAACATATTAACAAATTAGCGATTGTTTCCTATTTAAAATTAAATGCTACATTACCATTAATAGTGACATTTGAAAGTGATATGGGTATGTCCATCATAGTGGCATTTGAAGGACGGAGACTGACAGATTGAGCACTGCTTGTTGGGACATTTGGAGACGACAAGATGTTGCTCCAGTCTCGTCTCTCCTGCGCTGACGGAGCCCAATAAGCCTGCAGGCTGCTCTCACACCGATGTCCCTTGACGGTCATGATCTGACGAGTTTCCAGGTGTCTCATCTTCTAAATTATTTAATTCTTCTGGTGTCACCTCCTTGTGCCGTTTCTTCCTTTTCTTTTCATTCTCTCTTCTTCTGCATCCCAGTCATCAAATTTATCAAATTCACCAAATAAATTAAATGAAACGATAAAATCACTCATGATGCCCGTTGTAATCCGTTGCCTCTGCTCTGAGTCTCTGTTGCTATGGTTACAAACTAGCAGTTGAGCCAGCGCAATAATTTAGAACCTGTCATCAGGCAATTTGACCGGAACGTCTTTTTAGCTGTCCTATAACACCTTTTAACGGACAACCTGCAGCCAATCAGAATTGAGTATTCACCCAGACCATGGTATAATGGCATGTTTGGGAGTGAATGAGTATAGGTAGGGGGGCGGGGTGTGAGTGTGACGGGGATGAGAGATGTGTGAGTGCGGGTGCTGGTGTGTGTAGGAGCGAGCTGGAGGAGAGAGCAGGAGTGCACAGTTGGAGTTACAGCTAAGTTCTTGTTTGTTGGTTGTTTTGGCGTAGTTACAGCCAACACTAACCTGTACTGTTCAGTAATAAACGGTGGTTTGCCGAATAACTGCGTCATCCTTTCCACATGTCCTGGCGGGCGCTACAATATGTTATATAGCTTACCAGTGAGATATAGGTTATCTGTGAGATATAACGTTATGTTAGGAGTGTTTTATCTCTAATTGTTTTGGTAACTTGAGCAAACATTAGCACAGTAATGCTAAAATAACACGTTTATGTGATAGTCACGGCACAGTGCGGCAAATATAGGTTGGTAATATAATGTGTTTCCAGAGTGTTCTTCAACAGGAGTTCTTTCCACCTGGAATAAGCAACAGTGATATTCACTTGCGTTTTGTCCCATCCTCGCTTATCTGATCTTTTTCTTTTATTTGGTGGCATGGTTTCCCTCTTACCGGGCAAAACATGTGTGTGGTCCTCCATTTAAAGTGCGACAGAATCATAAAAGTACAAAGCAGGTTCACGCAGAAGTGCACCGGATTCATCTTCACCTTAACCGTCTCCAGTGACGGCAAGTTCTAGGTAAACGCGAAAGGCGAAGTGCGTATATCCCTTTCGGCCACTGTATTCAAATATGGTGACGCAAGAGGGCAGCCTCCAGCAGACCACGCCCTGCCTGTGTATATATAGAGAAATCATTCTAAGCCTATGAGAAAGCTTCCATTTGTATGTGAATTGCATTACACTTAAGTAAATATATATTTATGAAAGCAATAGTTGATATTTGCTAATAAACAACCACGTAAATTACACATTGTAACTTTAAGGTTGCGCAGAATTCACAGAAATTGATTGAATTTTCCATTAATTTGTGGTAGCAACATCCTGGAGGGGCTGACATTTGGTGACTTGTTAAGGATTCGTAACTCAAAGTTTAGGACTTGGGACTCGATTCAGAACTTGTCTGTCTTGACATGAGACTTGAGCAGGGAATTGAGTGCAAAGACTTAAGAATTACTTTGCAAAACGATGACTTGGTCTCACCTTCAGTGCTACTTCATGATGATGTGACACTATATGATGAAACGACTGTGTGTGTGTCACATTGCACTTGTCACCTTTGTATCTTCAAAATTTCAGTTTCAAAATTTTTTCGTTAAGTTAGATGACATCTCATTTGTGACATTTTCCAGCTTCAAAGGGTTTTTAGATTTTAATGATTCCATGTCATTTTTACAAGCAGGAAAGAAATCACTTAAACGCAAAGATGGAGATGTAGATTTTATTTCCTTAAGACCATTGATTACATGGTACAACAACATATAGTTTTTTTCTATTATGGGGGTAGTCAAGCCAAGGCATGCCCGAAGAGTCATGAGCAGGTGAGACACACTGGCACAACGACAGTATGGTTGCAACCCTACTTTGACCACAGCAGTGCATCTTAGTGCAGCTATGCCCTGCTGTGAGGAAGAAGTGGAAACTTGTTTTTACGGCATGGCTTGATACAGCGCAGCTAAAGCTGTTCGACCTGGGCCCATGGAAAAACCCCATTACACAGTGCAATAATGACAAAACAATGGCACCAGGCAGGAACAAATGTCACCATAGAAGGCCTTAATTATTTGTTTGATTTTTTTGTGGATTTATTTAATTGTGAATAAAGTCATCATTTTTGTTTCTCTCCTTCAGTTTCAAAATATCTTTTTTATGTAAAAATGTAATACTCCAAACTTAGATATTGCAATTGCACAGCTCTGCAAAACTGCCACCAGTTGGCTGCTCTTCACCTGCAAGCTGATTAGTGGTAGAGTTTTAACCTTCTGGATTCAAGGAGAATCAAGCTTCCTGAGGCTCTGCTGAGCTTTCTGAGCTCGTCTGATTCTCTCCTCAAAGAAACTCTTCTGGTGCTGATTCCTCTGATCCAACCTGACTAACCACTGCTCCCTCAGCCTGGACAGAGAGGGTGACAGGGGGAGACAGAGGGAGAAAGGGGGAGAAGGGGGAGAAAAAGGAATAAGTAGATGTTCACACGGCACAAATACAGGCACTTACTGCCATTAACAACACAGAAAAGGCAGCCTCTCTGGATTGCAACACATTACAGGAGCGCACCAAGCTTGAAACATTATTTTTCTGTGTTTTCATGCTATTGAGTGCACATATTGAGCACATTAAATTATCTCACTTTTCTGCTATAGACAGCTCCACTCCCTCTTTTTGAGCACAGAGTAAGGTTCCAGTTCTGTCTGAAATTACACTGTGCTACATTTAGCATCCTTGTGGTGTGTGGCTAACACATGGAACAATTAAATGAGGGGCTTTTCACACACCATACTAATCAGGGCTGCCAACTCTCATGCACTGACCATGACACTCATACAGCTGACACTTTCTACTCACTCTCATGCCACATGTCCATTCTCTCACACAACAGAAAACAAATTTATAATGATAAAAGCCAACATGAAAAAAGGACAGTACAGCACACAGAGAGAAAAGACAGAGCAGCACTGTAAAACACTGCGATAAAGTTAGCCATTGTTTGTGAAAATCTGGTCAAGGCAGCTGGATATCAATGCACATCTATTTGTGCTGTTATGGTACTGGTACTTGGAGTGGCCAAAAAGGACGAAGACAGACCATAAATCTCAGCAATCATTTCTTACATTCTACATACAGAATGAAACTGCAAAGAAGTCCTAATCTGACTAAACAGTTTCAGTAACAGGTTTGCTGAGAAGCCAAATGCTCTAACTGTTCCTGACTATTGACATAAGTAGTTTCACTGTGCATTACTGTACAGGCAACGCAAATAGTATTGTAGCACATTGAAAATGTATAGGATCTTTTTACTTGAGAGGTTTGCTGAAATTTTCAATGTTATCCTGTTAAGGACGAAACTGACTGTGACCATGTACAGTGGCAAAGAAAAAAAGACCTGAAGCAAAAGTTTGGGGACCCTGCATGGTTGTGATACTTGCCCTTTGGCAAGGTGACCATAAAGGTCATATTTGTGCAGGTGTAGCAGCACAGTAGAACAGTGTACCACCACTCCTAGTCTGCTAAACCTTTCTGCAGGTCTTTTGCAATCAAACAGGGGTTTTGATTTGCCTTTCTGACAATCCTACAAGCAGCTCTCTCTGAAAGTTTTCTTGGTCTTCAAGACCTCAACTTGACATCCACAGTTCCTGTTAGCTGTGATTTCTTAATTACATTACGAACTGAGGAAACAGCTACTTGAAAACACTTTGCTATCTTCTCATAGTCTTCTTATGCTTTGTAGGCATCAGTAATTTAGTTTTCAGAGTGCTAGGCAGCTGTTTAGAGGAGCCCACGGCTGCTGATTGTTGGGACAAGTTTTCAGGAAGCGTACGGCATAGTGTAATTGGTGTATGCCATAGTGTGGTAAGTGTACAGTCTTGTTTATGGTGTGTATGGCATGGTGGACATGGTGTACAGCATAGTGTACTGTCTAGCGTGCATAATGTATGGCATAGTGTACAGTCTAGTGTACATATTATACGACAGTTCACGCAGTGTACACCGTAGTATACAAAGTGTACGGCATGGTGTACAGTCTAGTGTACATAATATACAGCGTAGTGTAGAGCATAGCGTGGGTGGTGTACGTCACAGTGTATGATATGTGTAGTGTGATGTGTAGTGTACATAGTGTACATAGTGTACATAGTGGATGTAGTGCACAGCATAGTGTATGGTCTAGTGTATGTAGCATACATATTGTGTGGCATAGTGTACTAATGACGGAGCATACAATGTAGTGTACTTATTATATGGCATATTTTAGGTATGTGTACAGTATAGTGTTTGATATACTGCACAATACAGTGTATGGCATAGTGTACCATCTAGTGTTCATATTATTTGACATAGTTTATGCAGTGTAAACCAAAGTGTATGGCACAGTGTACAGCCTAGTGTACATAGTTTATGGTGTAGTGTATGAGGTGTCCAGCATTGACATACGTAGTACAAAAAAAGTACTAGATACAATCCGCAACTTTGGAAAATCCAAAAGGCATTTGGACAACAAAGTGTTGCTGATGGGAAACTAGAAGTCTTTTAACTCACTAATCACCAAATCAGTGCTTACTGAACTCACACAGCACCCTGTCCAAAACTCTGATCAGTGTGGATGGTATTTAATGCAGGTTTTTAAAAATGTACTGTAAATGAGACTAAGGTTAGACTTTGCTTTGTGTAGGCTGGATTCAGTGACTGCTAGGCAGAAATGAGCGGAGGTTTTGTCAGAACATCAGAGGCCAGTATTTACCCTGACACCATCACTCCTAGGCTTAAATTAATCGTGCAGACATCCAGTGAAACTTGATCTGCTGTCACAGCTAATTGTGTTACGGAAAAAGGGGAACATTGTGTGTGTATGTGTGTGTGTGTGTGTGTGTGTGTTTGCTATGACAGGATTAATATTGTTGTGTCTGTGTAAGCGAGCGTTCATCTGTCAGCACGCTCCGTCATGTGTTGGTTAATCTGCAGTCTGTCCTCAGATATTTACACTGATCTCCAGGATTCAAACATGTAGTCGAGCTGCCTCTAATCAACATTCTCAGGCTACTATGTGATGACAGACAGACGAGCTGTAAACATAACCACGGCATTTTCCAATTTAATCAAGTTATGATGGAGAGACAGGGACAAAGGCTGAGGACATATTTTTGATGCTCTTTTCTTTTCCCCTCTGATCCTGCAGTTCATCCAACCTAATAAACTCATGGTGTTTGTTCAAACCTACAGAAATTTTTGTGGGTTCTGAATTTCCGTACAGATCCCAAAGTTTCCAAAGACACCAAATATGTCTGGATGAATTTTGTTGAAATGTTTCTAAAATGATCAATAAGACATGTAGAATATTTCCCTTTGATCAAAGGATGCACTCATAAAAACATCAAGGTTTGGGTTTAAATATGTCACTCTTTGTTAACATCACACAGCTTCAATGAAGAGCTGACACAACATGATACAGAATATGTGATACTGTCAGACATAGTGGAGGAACATGAGCTGCTACTAAACTCTAACGCTGTAATCCCCTGAACGTAAAAAGTGCATTATTAACAAATTATTGATCTCACTGTTTGACATGTGGGTAAAGTTACCAGATTAGATTGTTTAACTTGTTCAAACACTAAAACATGGAGGTCTGGGGAGGTGGGTGGTCGGGCATACAAAACTTGCAAGCAAACAGCATTAGTGTATTTTAGCCATGACTGCCTTCCATTCATAACCAGACACCCCAGATGAAAATGTAGTTTTTTCATATATTGGTCAGTTGTAAGATTTTTTTGGACTATTTTGCTTCCATAACATACCTTCTTTCAAACGAGTGAAAATAAGTTAAAATACAAAGTTAGGTGTATTTTATAGTATAGATTTGTGTTCTGGTAATGTGTGAAAAAGTGCATATTTAAGTAGACAATGCCTCATTTACGAAAACCTAATAAAAAAAAATGTTAATATAAGGATTCAACTGGAGAAGTTCAATGGTGATATCTGTTAGTTAACATTTTCACCCTACTTACCTGTAGTGTCTTTTTTCTTGTCTAGAAATTTACCATTTTCTCAAAACTAGTTTTTTCTTCTCATACTCAGAGCCAGAAATGTCCACTTCAAAAGCACTTTCATGCACTAAACTTTATTTCTACCTATAATCTGAAGGTTTTTGCAGGGGTTTGGTCATATATCATTCATATTTATTTTATTCCTAAAACCATGGTGAAAAAAAAAATATTTTTAAGGCTGCCAGGCATAAGCCTGGAGGGGATCATGCGTTCAGTTGTGTGTGTGTGTGTGTGTGTGTGTGTGTGTGTGTGTGTGTGTGTGTGAGAGAGAGAGAGAGTCTGTGTCTATCTGTCTGTCCGCAGCTAATCTTGCAAACTACTGGACCAATCAGCCTAACATTTTGTGTACACCTTTATGACTGTGCTCAAGGACCTCTCGTGGTTGTGGTGATTTGCCATCAGTGTTTAGCAAGCTACTTGGAAAATGTAGTGAGCTAAGATACCAGTTACTCTACATCAAAATAAAGTTTCAATACATTGAAGCTATCCCCAGTGAAATGTAGCAAGCTAGGCTACAAGAAAATGGCAAAAGTAACTGGTTATTTGCAAAGCTTCTTTTGTTTATTGACTTGTCAAATCAGCTTTTTGTGTGTAACTTATATACTTATATCAAAACATTGTGTGTGTGTGTGTGTGTGTGTGACTTTGTGACATTTGACAATCAACTCCAATGACATTATATCAGAATTTTAAATTTGTGCTTAATTAAGCACACATTTAATTAGAAAACATCTCATTGTATATTTAAATATAAAACTTCAGAAAATTTGTAATACAAAAAGAATAATTGTCCTGATGTGAGTAATCACCTGGGAAAGTTTCATCGTGATATATACCAGTTTAAAGTTTTACCCTATTCACCAGGGGCAGGCAACCGGCTGCTTCGGGGCCACATGACACGAAATTTTAAGTTTACACAAATGTCGCGAATTGTCAAAATGACAAAAAACTTTATGTTCACTTGACACAAAAACTCATCCCTTGTGAGCTTGACATATTTTTTTCAAAAGTCAACAAGTTTTGAGTTTTGAGTTAATTTGACTAAAATGTATTAAACCTTATTAGTTTAAGGCCAATAAGCAACACTATCACTGTGCACTTAACATATTGTGATGTGCTGGGGCTAAATGGATGGAGTTTCCCAGCATGCCGTGAGACAATGTGTTTAAGGCCATAAACCGAAGAAAACTGTGTTTAAATGTGTTCTAAACCACTAACTTTAACCATTACGCAGTGATTAATGTTTATGTTTTTCACAATGGTTGTACTGGGTTGTTGTGGTAAAAGACATTTTGCACCTTTGCATAATTCTTACACTCGAGAAACCAAAGTACACTACAGTACATTTTTTATAGCTCAATGATATTCTTAAAAATTGTAAAATGTGTACTCATGTACATGTGTTTCTATGTTCACATGACACTGATGTTAAATGCTAAAACAACAATGAAAAAGTTATGTGTTGTAAGCTGAGTGAGCAAATTGGGGTTTACAGTGTAATAAAAAAATGTTTTAACATTTTAGGCAACTAAAAAGTGTGTAATAGGCTATATCTACTACCCAGTGACTTTTGTTCAAAAATTTGCTGAACCTCTCCACGGAGACTATAGGCTTGAGTCTCCCCAGCTAGGTTAGCGGCTTGCTTTTGATTCCAAATCCAAAAAAAGAAAGGTATGAGAGGAAAATAGAGAATTTAATAGAACATGGACAGATCTTTTTGCTTTCCCTGCCAAATTGGAAAGTTAATGTATCAAATAATCATAAATGGTCCACTGTAGAGTAGCCACCTCATGAATGCTCACTTAGACCTATTAGTAATGTTGATAGGCTAACTTAGAGTTAATAGGCTGTGTAACTGTCATTATAAGGTTCAGATGTTATTTTTTTTTTCCTTTTTTTTTCTGTTGATGGATGTTGATTTCTGAAAATGGCTCTTTTGATAGTAAAAGTTGCCAACGCCTGACCTGTTTTCCTTTTAAGTACACCTGAAAGTAGAATTTTTCTCAAGTTTTGTGCAAAGAAATATAAATTTTACTGACACTACAGCTTTAGCTGATCACTCAGAGGTTCAAATGATGGGGGGGCAGCTCATCTATCTGCTCACGTATGTTAAAGTGGAGTGGATTTTTCCTGTTGCTTTGATAAGAGAGGGAGGATCACAGCTAATTTCAGTGTGGCTTCAGCTGTTGTTATCTGTAGGGGCTACTTCCACAGACCATTTACTAGTTACACTTGAGAGAAGAAAAGATTACATATACAGTATAGAGAGATAGCCAGCATATAACTTAAATCACTTCAAATTTCACTCTGTCTTGTAAGCTACTCAGATATATTTTCACTTAACTTCCTTTTTATCTGTTGCTCTCCAGTCCATAAGGCATAAGTATAAATGGGGTCCTAGATGTCTAAAAACTACATTTTTAGCCTGACTTCATCTGGGATTGTGACCAGTGACACTTAAAGCTGACCACTTTTTGGCCTCCTACCAGGACTTCAGATTTGAGCATTTGAAATGATACATTTGAGTCAGACTGCAAGCTCCTTTTCATAATTTTGCTGCTGACCGTGCCAGAGCGCTGCTCCTTCTGCGGTCCTCCTCCTCGTCCATCTGTTCGCTGTGCTGAATGATCCTCTGCTCCCAGAAAGACTTCAGCTTCTGTTTGTCATGAATCCGAGCTGCGTTCATCACCTAACAGGAAACAAACTGCAGTCACAAATGGACGGATTTCTCCGCAGAAAGAGGTTTACATGTCTGAAGAACGCTACATCCTCCATTCTTCAAAATAGAATAATCCACAACAAATTGTCTCAGGAACACTGATGAACTGAGTCTGCTCTGATTACTCACTGCTGTTTCCCAGCTCGTCTGGACTCCTTCTCTCTACTTTCTCTTTTTCTCTCTTTCCTTTTCTATTTAACTTATCAGTAATCCCTCGTCTCTTCTGTTTTCCCTCTTTCTTTCTTTTTTACATCTTGTTATGTCTTTTGTCTGTTCCTGTCCTTCTCCCTGTTCTTTTGTCCTTTATCTCCTCTTTTAACTCCTCCCCTCCTTTCCACCTTTTGACTTTGTTGTCCCCCACGTTATTTTCTCTCCTCCTCTTGCCTCTGTTTTCTTCCTCTCTATCAATCGTTTACTTCCCTTTTATGTTTTCTCTTTTCTTTTCTCATTTAACACCATATTTTCTGACTCTTTACCTTTTCTTTTTCCTCTCCTCCTCTCCACTTTTCTCTCCTAAGATCTTCTGTATGTCCCTCTCTGACAAACAAGTATTCTTCTTCTTCTTCTTCTTCTTCTTCTTCTTCTTCTTCTCTTTTTTTACTCTTGTGTTTCAGCTTTGGGATAGTGAAGTATTGGTTTGATAAGTGGGATCAAAATAAGCATAGAGGAGGATGATTGTCACATGACCCTCCTCAGATTCATCCCTGACTTTTCCCTTGAGAAATAGTTTTGATATGTGCTGTTATAGTTAATGTTCGTGAAAATTACTTAATACATACAGGGAAGGTACTACTCAATCTGATTAAAAAAAAACAACAAAAGCCTCAGGGGCTAAAAATTGAAGCCAACACAGAAGTAACAAAAACTGCAGTTCCTCTATTGGCCACTTGAGGCTGGCTCAAAGAGTGAGTCAATCCCCACAGACCCCCATGTTAAAATGCCCACATTTACAGCAGAAATAAACATGTTTACAGCCTGGCACGAAAATGGTTTTGGTCTCTGTCGCTTATTTTTCCTATTCATGATACCTGGATTCTAATGTAACTCACCTCTTTATATTTTATTAAGGCTTTAATTTATGCGTAATTAAGTGCATGGCTGCTTTGAGTGACATGTGGCTGCAGTCCGGTCACAACTCTCTACCACAGCATTGGTTAGGTAATGTAACCATGGCATAACACCAGATTCAGAGGATAGGCATAACTGTTGCTATTTCCATGAGTTTTCAATTCATGAAAGTTTACTGTGATGTTGTGGTCAGCTAATAAAGCATTGTCCAGAGTTTGGTTGTACCAAAAGACCCTCTAAGGACTCATTTATGCTCAACGTTACATAGCCTACATATATGACAGAGACATTTAAAAATGGAGGAAAGGAATGAATCATTAATATAGAGAAGAATTCTCCATATACATGTTGCTATGTGTTTAATATGTAATGCTGCTTCCATTAAAAGGCACATTATTACGATCTCCTCCACCGTGGCCTTATTTGTTTGTTTTCAGAAACTTTCGACTCTTCCCTTTATAGAACCATTATCGGCTGTAACAACAACATCATAAAGGACACATGGAGGTATGTGGGCAGTGCCATTTACAGTGTTTGAAATGGACATATCTATTTTTGTATATAAAGGGAGTATAAAGGAGCCCAAAGGAGTCAAATATGCAGTTTGACTGGTAAGTATTTTTGTTTTAATAGTTTTAACCTTGTTTTTGCTTGTGAACATCAGCATTAGCATTATCACAGCTAACCATAGCTGTAAATAAACTGTGCTCACCAAGCCGGCATATAGGGTTAGCTTCACCCTCTCATCTAAATATGGTCACTTCTGGCTCCAAAAATCCAAAATGGCAACAGCCACAAGGCCAGACTTAAAGCAGGAGTCCACAAACCAATTGGTGATGTTACTTTGGCTATGTCCATTACTTATAGTCTATGTAAAAATCCTGTATTAAAAACTGGAGGTGTGGCACTTGACAGTATCAGATAATGGATGTCTACTGAGTGAGTTGCATGTATATGTATGTATGTATGTTTTTGGAGCTTGATCCATACAAAGGACTAAAAGTCAGGATACTGGCCTTCCCCTGCACAGTTTTTGCCCCCTTTTTTAAATGTGTTTTTCAATTCCCCAAATTACTTGCTTGGCATATTGAATCTCCCAGGCACCCCTTTAAATGTAGTTAAGTTTTGCTCTGTCTTTTTTTCTTCTGTTCAGTCTCAGTTTCAAATATGTATCTCCAGACAAAAGCCCTGACTCTTTCACTCAGAGAGTCACACCAATATGTGACCTTTACTGATGATGTCTTAGATTCATTTTCTCAGATAAAACTCTAAATAATAGCTGCTGGTAAGATGATGGACCTAATATTACAATATTTTCAAAAAAATGTGTCCTTAAGCTTTGACAAATCACCACCAAGACGATTCTTCTGCCTAACAGAACATTTCTTCAGGTCACAGAGTGTAAGGACATTTTGATTTTTCTGTTGCTATTCATCTGTCCACAGTAGTATTATTACACATACACACATACAGAACTGTACATAAAGACCCAGATGTCACATGGCTTAACCAAATGGCACCAGGATCTTAACCACAGCTTAGTCGTCTTTACACTTCCAGTGTGTGTGTGTGTTTGTGTGTGTGTGTGTGTGTATGTGTGTGTGTGTTTGTTCTGGTATTTAGTACATTATGGGGACATGGTATTTATGACATTATGGGACAATTTGTTTACACAGTTATGTACTGGGGACCTCTGGGTATAGGGACAAAAAACTTAGGTCTCCAGAGGGGAGGGCCTTTCTAATAAATACAGGGGTCATTTTGAAGGTCCCTGTGTGGTTTTTAGCTTCGGCCCACTGGACATTTTTATCAGTCAGCGTGTGTGTGTGTGTGTGTGTGTGTGTGTGTGTGTGTGTGTGTGTGTGTGTTGTGTGTGTGTGCTAGGGTTGCAGGTAATACAGTCCACAATTAATCTGTCGTATTTATTGCGGTCAGAGTATATGGTCGACAAAATGCAGCGGAGAGAGGTCAAGGCTGTGAGGGCCCAGCTGCAGTGCCAGAGGATATGGCTGGCAGCCCGCTGGCAGGAGGGACCTCCAGAACCTGCGATGCTGAGATCAAGACCAACTGGTGGTGCCTTTGCAAAAAGTACCCTCCAAGGCCAACAGAAACTGAATCATTCTGCTGCAGTCAATTTAAGTATTTTTTTTTTTTGGATGCTGTCACCAACAGAGAGAGAGCACTGTGAGTTGCCAAGTGTGAGATACAGTTACTATGCATGAAAATGTTACTCCTCACTAGTGCTGGAGACGTTTGTCAGGACCCTAAATAGAACAGAAATATATTGCATTCCTGATCAGCCTGAATAGCCTCGTATTATGTTGCTGCCTCAATCACTGAGCAATTCCAGCAAATCAGTTTCTGAGGGCATTCTGTAAAGGTTGGTGGATGTCCTCTAAGCTCTCTTCTGATGCCAAATGCACACCCCACTACCTGTTTACTGTATTTACCATTGTCGCAGGTACAAGAGTGGTTCCTGCATTGTTTGTTCCCCCTTGTTTATCATTTTGTGTTATTCCGTAGCTGATACTAGTGGCCTATGACTCTGTAGGTTTTCTCGACTTGGTCAAAAAAAGAAAAGTTTCCTTAATTTCATTTAACTCAGGTTATGATTTATTATCAAGTGCAGCGCTCATTTCATTGATGAAAATTTATTGTGTGAAGAGATGTGGTGTGATGAAAATGTTTTGTAATTGTCATCAAATTCTGCATAAGCAACAGGCTGGCAAACTCCAGTAAATACTCTGCACCAGGATGTGTCGCCAGCCAACAAAAACACTCACACTGGAGCAGTGTCAGCTGTTGGTGTGAGTTGTGAGCTGTAATTTAGCAGTAAATAATCAGGTGAGTGTGTGTCTGTCTGTGGATGATGGAGCTGTTGAATGGATTTGTGGAGTTTGTTAGTTGCAGCAGTGGCTGTTAGCAGTTAGCTCTGCTCATTAGCAGTTATCATCGCTCGCTAAGCGCAGAACAGCAGTTGAGCAAGCAGGCTTCCAGACTTCACAGCAGATCTCCACCTGACCTCACTCAGTCTGGACTTGAGATAGGTTTACAGGTTGATGCTGTTTGCCAGGCAGATAGGAGGCTCAGTTATCTGTGAGTGTAGCTGTGCTGTAAGAAAACAGTCTGAAATATTGTCTGACAGAGATGAAAGTTTAATTTTAATCACCGACTCTGTGAGAGGACACAAGTTTAAATCTCCAGACTACCAAGTTGCAGAATTCAGGCCTCAATTAAGTTATTTCTCTGCTTCTTAACAGTGAGATCGATAAATCAGAGTTTACAATGAACCGGGGTACAAATCCTAGTTGTCTGAGATAAGTTATTTGTTGTGGTGTCAAAGTTTTTGAGAGCATAAATAGAGAGATGCTGAGCTTTTCAAATGATGATCAGTAAGTGTGTGCTCATAAATCACCCCTTAAACCTGTCAAACACTGCTGGACTGAACTGAAACTGAAACTAAAACTGAAACTAATAAGCATTTTGTCTCAAGAGGGTTAAGACTAAATTTAAATTAGTTGTCAAAATTAACACTGATGTAGGGCTGCCAGCATGGCTATGTGAGCATCTCGGTTGTTGTAAACTGCACTGAGGAATTTACAGCTTCAGTCAACTATGTTTACCATCAACACTGATTGGACATTTACATAAAAGGTGGCAATTTTTTCCTTTAATGTGTATGAGGTCATACACAGGTTAAGTGTACACTTTCTTGCTCTTTCAGAATACAGCTATAGGATAAGGGAGGGGAGCAATATTACCCAATGTAGATAGTAGTAAAAAGCAAAATTAGAGGTCATGCCAGTGAATGTAATGTTCAAATAAACCATTGCTACAGATGCACTTGGTGGATCTGAATGCATCACAACTTGAAACTCTAAACTCATCAGACCATATGTTTTCTTGTCATATAAAACATGTTGTAATATTTTTCAGGGGAACCAAATAGAATTGATGGATTGGAACCCCTTTTCCATGTGGCATGTAGAATTTCTCTTAATTTTATTTGGTTGTTTATAGAATTACCTAATGTTTATTATTCACGTATTTTAAATTGCATTGCAATATTACAAACAAATGAGTCTATAATATTTAATTACCAAATTTCCTGACCAACGATGTCAATTTTTCTTGTTAAATTGTTAAATACATTATTATGTGGTGCTATGCTATGCGGTGCACCTTAATCAGACTATTACCATAATCAGGTTACCATGTGCATGTAAACATACAGACTGACTAGGGGTTACATACCTCGCTGTGCCTCAGCGTCCCTCAACCCTCTCATGTTTTTAATTCCATTCATGGCTGACAGAAAAAAAATAATTCAATTAAAAAAGATAAAAATAAAAAACAATCTTACAGTGGATGGCGAAGTAGAACACCAGGAGTTAATGAGTCATTACACAAACACACACATACACACACTGTAAAAGGTTCAGTGGCATGTTTATGTTGTTTAAAGGGTCCAGTGTATGGGGTTTCAGGGGATATATTGTTTTTTAGTGTATAATCACCTGAAAATAAGAATTGTTGGGTTTTTGTCACCTCAGAAAGAGCTTTTTATATTTACATAGGCAGAGGTTCCTCGTCTACCGGGATCGCCGTGTTGTACTGCCATGTTTCTACAGAAGCCTTGATAGGACAAACCAAACGCTGGCTCTAGATA